TATTGATAAAGGCAAGGGCCCGACTTGATGACGAGTCATGCATTCTCCAGTGTTTCACAATTAGCTCTTTGTACTCAAAATTTCAGAACAACATGGATATGTAATGGGATCTTTGTATTTTCTATGGTTGATGTTGTGAAATTAAAAGTTTAAAATTTGTATGAAAACTGGGTTGTTACATACATGTGCGAATTTGAATTATTGGTACAAAACAGAAGTAACCGAAACATAAAAAGTGTTAAGACTCAAAAAGTATAAATTTTAGTCAAATAAAGATGTCCTAGTTAAAGGCGTACAAAGAACCTTAAGGTGAAGCTAAATTTGGCAAGTTTGACCAAATTTTAGAAACTTGAAATTGAAAATAAATATTTGTAATTAACCATCTAACTAAATTTGGAAAAACAAAAATTTGGGTAATTACATATTATGTCATAAAAAACGTAATAAAACAAGATAAGGAAATGAGTTGAAGTTGAGGAATATTAAAATTGAAGGTTTAAACATACATTTTTCATGGTGACAGCTAGGCAAACCTCTACGACCCGGACATATATTTGAAGCGATATAAAACAGGTTTCCAAACTTCTAATGAACCAAACGTTACATCTTTCTTAAGTTAGATATCTTTTGACCTCTTTTGTCCTTTTATTATTTCTCCATATAGACTTCCGCTAGGTCTTCTATAAATTTTACAAGTCTACAACAATTATTGAAAAAGAGTGAAAAATGTTTATGTTATGTGGTATAAGCATCTTTTTAACCACTTTAGACATTTGGTAGTGGATGTTTAACACTTTTGGTTCCCTCTCTTGGTGATGGAACTATATTTCATAGGAATGAGAACATTTAAAAAAGAGCTATACAACTATTCAATGAAACAAGAGAAAGAATAACACAAAATCTGTAAAGTTGATCATCTTTTCATTGAGAGAGCGACTAACCATTAATAGCTAGGCATACAGACACGTCATCCCCATCATAATTTTTTTAAACCATTTAGAACGACTTCATCACATTTGCTTTTGTGAATTTTGATTCTATTTTCGACATCTCTGCTAGGATCATATTCCATTTGTCAACTCTTAAGCACCTATTAAAAACGGAAGAAATATTAGTTTTTATTAAAAGTAGGAAAATGCTCGTGTGTTTCACATGAATAAAGTATGTTGTTTAAAAAATATACATTGTTAAAAATAACTAAAGTATTATCATAGACTACAAAATAATAATTTTATAATAGTATAGATCATTTAAAGCATTGTCGCTATTTTAAATACTTCATTTTGTTTGAATCATATTCACCTGAAACTCCACAATTCTTTAATTTCTACTTCATACTATAATTAACGATTTTATAGGATTCCCTAGGGTCAGTTCTTATTATTCATGTTCTTATCTCAGAAACGTAATATTATTATTAAATAGTTATCTTAAGTACATCTATTTGTACAATAAGAATATGGGAAATCTTTAGAAAAGTTATAATATTATGGTTAAGTTTATGAAAAAGTCCCAAATTTTATTTTGTTAACAAAAAAGTCCCAATTACCAGATAAAAAAAATTTCAAATCAGTCATTTTTTACCGGTAAACTATTTTTTACTTGGTTATCTTACGAAAAGTCCTATTATTTTGGCCAAATTTATGAAAAAATCTCAAATGTCTGCTTCTGATTAACTATTCCAGTCAAGTCTGACAAGACCAGTCAAGACTGAAGATGAGAATCAACAAAGTAACTCAAATATTAAATATGGAGTAATGACAATAATCAAAGTAAATACAATAAATGAACAAGTAGAATGTTTGAAAGAGTTTGATTTGAGAGAAAGATGAAGTGAAGTAAATTCAAATATAGCTATCTTTGGAGGAACAATTTGTCATTGATTCTTGTCATTAAACACTCCTTATATAGCAAAAGGAGGAACACATTACAAACCGGAAGACATACAAAGGACCGGACAATGTCACTACTTCTGACATTCTGATTGTCCAAATAAACAAAAAGACTAAGTCCTAAGTAATGTTACAGCACATAAAAGACAAGAATAATTAATGCATAGACGGATAGACTGATTCAGACTTATTCTTCATTTCGGAACATCTTCTCTTTGAACATACTCTCTATTCCGGACACCAATCTTCACTTCTGACCACAGACTGACTCCGGACCATATTCTACTTCGGAACTAAGACTGACTTCGGAACTTCCAAAGGTTACAAATTGCTAGAGGTTCACTTTCAGGTTCCAACATGCACATATAATACATGCACATAAGGCCTAGAGCATAAGGATAGACCACCATCCGGAGCCTACAACATCCAAGTCAGACTGCTCCCCTTAGGCCTATAGTATGAACTGGACCGCCTAACCCAACCACAATATGCCGACATATGCAAATAACAATAACAAAAAAATACAAGTAATCATAACAAATCTACCAATCTAACTAGATCACTACAGCATACCAACATCATAACATACAAATGATATATACTACAGTAGAAAGTATAGTGAGAAAAACTCACTTCACAGACAAAAGCAGAAATCCCTACAACTCGTCACACTCAATAAACCTGAACCACACCAACCAAGCCAAATAAGGATAAATCCTCAATCTAAGACTTGAACCCTAAAGTTTGGCCTTAAGTCAAACTTGGTCAAAAAGTCAATGGTCAAAAGTTAACAATCGAGTCACCACGTCGTGGTGGCTAAACGCCAAAACAGTCGCAAACTACCTCGCTACCATGTCGTGGCAACAACCGTGGCCACGTCGTGGTTACACCCTGACCAACTTATTCATTAAGCTCTTAATCCTTATTTTCAAAGCTCCAAAGCTCAGATCTAGATTGATTAAGGCCATGTATGGATAAAACTTCCAACTTTAACCCTTCTCTAGCCTCTAGAAGCATAGATCTAAAACCCTATATCAAAAAGGGACCACATGACCTAAAAAGCTCATGCATGGTTGATTTATGATCAAGATACAAACTTTATGGGATCATAAGGTCCAAGAACTAGCATATAATTTATCCAACGTCCTTGAGTTGCTTCAAACTCCAAGGATTCATTTCCAAAAGCCAAAAAAGGACTTAATCACATCATAAGCAACTCATAGAATGGAAATGTATGAACTTTATACCTATTAGAGCCTAAGGATTGAAGTAGAAGCAACCCTCAACAACAACAAGTCACATCACAAGCTTGAATCGCCCTCTCATTCTTCAAAGAACCTTGAAAGGCCAAGAACACACACTTTTTCTCCAAGAACACACACACCCACACACTAGGATTTCTCTCAAAGAGATAGAGGCTGGAGTTGAGAGCAAACCCTAGCCATAATGTTGTTTAAATAGGGCTCAAGACCCGAAATTAGGATTTCTCATTCAACCGTCACCACATTGTGTCCATTGCATGACCACATCGTAGTGATTGAAAAATGTGTGTTCCTTTATGGAGCGCTACCACATTGTGGTGAGCTTTATCACCACGTTGTGGCAACCATAAAAACTCTCAAAATTAGAAATGTTGGGTCTCAAGAGCAATACCTGAAAAATAGATGTTACATATATGGATAATGATGAGTTCAAAATGATGCTAACGTCATTGTTTTGTAGCAAATAATTGGTTATAGATGACTTTGATAATTAGTTTTATGGAGCTTAATAACGTTTATTCCTATTAATAACTTGAACCAAGAAATATCTAGATTTTTAGTGAAATAATGAAAGAGTTGAAGTAAAAAAAATTGGGACTTTTTCATAAACTTGGCCAAAATAATATAATTTTTCTGGAGGTAACCGTGTAAATTATAGTTTACCAGTAAAAAGGGTTGATTTGAATATTTTTATCCGGTAATGGGGACTTTTTTTAACAAAATAAAATTTGAGACTTTTTCATATACTAGACCAAAATATTGAGATTTTTTTGGAGGTTTCCCTAAGATTATCTACTTAATATCAATCAAAATGCCAATAAAAAATGAGTTGTGAAAGTCGTTTCATACACTCATGTTTCTCTCATCGATAATGATTGCGAGACCTTTTTTAATCTATGAAACATAACCAAAACTATTAAGTTACTCTCGTAATATATAACAAAACGTATACATTAAAAGCTTTAATATTGTTACATGTCTCAGAATGTGACAAAAACACTTCGAACCAACACAAAACAATTAAGTTTTTCGAATTGCTTCTTTATATTCGTTTAAGCTATGACCTTTTCCGAAACACATACACAAATAAAAGTTACAACTTATAGTTTCCGTCCACCAACTAGTTTGCCGAAGATAAGGTTGTTCAAATCACGATCCTGACCGTAGGATCGTACGAGCCTACGATCCCACCTACTTGGATCGTTTTTCGGTAGGACCACGATATGATCGGATCGTAAAATTGTAGGATCATTAATATTTTTTTTCAAAAAAAATTCTAATATTGTTCTTGGACTAACTATGTAGAATACTCATTTTAAATTGTTTATCGTTAAATGATGTAGTTATTATTAACTCAATGGTTAACTGATTGATGAATATTTATTTTTTATGTTTTAAAATGTTTTTGGTAGGATCTTACGATCCGATTTAATCTTACGATAACGATCTTGCAAAACGAAAAACAATCATATATAAGATCATGATATTAACAACCTTGAAAGATACCCTATGTAGCCTTAAAACTTCGGCTACATGGTTGATGGTTGTTCATATAGGTAAACGATCATTTGTCTCGTTATAATAGGAAAAAAAAAACGCAAAAAACGATAGGAAAATAAATCAATCTAAAAAAAACCAGACCAATCCACCTCAAAGCCGGTTTTTATGGAAGTCCAGCCTTGGCCCGTCGACTGTCCTAGATGCAGGCCGGGCTTTTAGTTGGAAAATAAAAAATCTGGACCTGAACATGAAACGTGGACCGGGTGAGGAAGACCTATTTGAACCGGTCAAGGGCATTGGCGAGTTTTACCCGGATCTACTTGATTCCTAGAGAATGGGTAAGTAGATGAACAAACCAAAGAAACAGAAGTTTCATATAGAAGACGATATAATAGCGGATATTCCCCTCTTTTTATTAGGGTTTCTTTTTTTCACTTGGATTTGTTCGATTTTGTTTGGTCTACGCCTTTCAAGTTTCCATTTTCATTGGATAAGGTTCTCCTTGTCTCTCCATCTCTATCCATACATTACCTGTGAACAGGTAGATGCTAATCTATCGCCTAATTTTATAGCTTTTATGTTGCCGTAATGTTCTTACTTTAACGTATTACTTATTAAATATTAAATATGCTTGTGTTTCTTCATATCTAATCTGGTAGGGGAAAACAAAGTGCTGCACTTCGATTTTTGATGTAGAATGTAGTTTTATTTTCCAAAATCAGAAGAACTTTGTTGTTAATTGAACACGACATTCTTTTCTTTTCTTATCGGTTCAATTTTAGAGTCAAAAGATAACCTTTCTCTTTTTTAAACTCATTTCCTCGACCCTGGAAGTATCCAACACAAGATTAAAAGTTCTGATTTCAGTCAGAATGTAAATGTCGCCAAAAGTGACCAAATTGAATAATTTTCTTTTGCCTTTGGAGGGTTCTCATATGTGAATTGTAAAATCTGCAGGAATTTGCACTCGGGGGACAGAATACAGAGTACATCAAAATCAGGGACTTCTAAATGCTTTTAGCTGTATATGATGATTTCATCCCACAACGGATATAGCAACTGGCTCTGTTTCAGCAAGTAGAATTATGCCAACCGGTTCTCTTTTTAAGTTGAATATTCCTCTTGGTTTTGGGCTTCGAAAAGGCATTAGATTGCATAGTAAAAACCAGGTCCAACCAAGTATCCGTTCATCTTTAAAACCAGGAAAAGCCCGCATCCCAAACTCAGATCAAAAGTTTGGGAATTTGAGGAAAGATTTTCAAGTTGCAGGTGTTATCAAGTTACATTCTTGTATCTCTGTGTCCAGATTTAACAGTAGTCAGGTTTTTGGGTACACTAAAAACCCATATATTCCAAAAACCATGGCTACCTCTGGTTCTGTAACTGCTTCAGGGGATCTCATTGTGGATAATTTCATTTCAAGTTGTGGCAATGTGTCAAATTTTGCCCAACCTTCTGGTCACTTTTTTGAAAGAAATACCCGGAGCTTTCATACAGGTAGCATGGGCATGAAAAATAGAGAACCAATCAAAAGCCATGGAGTTCATGGGTATTTTATATTTGGTGTTACTCACATAACAAGCAACATTAATACACCTGGTGGACGATTGCAAAGAAGATGCAACACTTCCTCTTCAACATGTTATTCAGATGGTGGAGTTTCAGATGAGGTACTGAAAGAGTCATCACACGATGAAACAATTACAAGTCTTGCTATTGAAGCCAATGGGTATGTACTATGTACTTCACTTAATCTTATATATTTCTGAATATCTTGATAAAACATATTTATAGTATTTATATTTTTTGATATCCAGGAAGGGCGGGCATGCTAGAACTCTGAAACTATTATCTGGATCTTCATACCTGCCACATCCTGATAAAGAAGCAACTGGTGGAGAAGATGCTCATTTCATTTGTGTTGAAGAGCAAGTAATTGGTGTAGCAGATGGAGTTGGAGGGTGGGCAGATGTTGGAATAAATGCTGGATTATATTCGCGTTCTCTCATGTCTAATTCTGTGAGAGCAATACAGGATGAACCCAAGGAAGCCATTGACCCTGCTAGAGTGTTGACTAAAGCTCATTCAGCCACAAAAGCTCAGGGTTCCTCTACAGCATGCATCATAGCCCTCAGAGACGAGGTTTGTAACATGTTTCATTTTATTGATGTTTGAGGAAATGATAAAAAGTTAGGATTTAATGGGGAAATAAAATCTTATTGCAGGGTCTTCATGCGATTAATCTAGGGGATAGTGGATTTGTGGTGATCAGAGATGGATGCACAATCTTTCACACCCCTGTACAACAGCATGACTTCAATTTTACTTTTCAGCTTGCGAATGACAATGAAGGCGATCAGCCAAGTTCTGGTCAAGTAAGTTCACCTCACCATTTGGAAATAGTTGGATGGAGGATTTGAACCAAAATCCAAAACCCTAAAAATGGTATTTTGTTTTGTGATGAACAACAAACAGGTATTCAAGATTCCAGTGGCAGTGGGTGATGTAATTGTTGCGGGAACGGATGGGTTGTTTGATAATTTATACAACACTGAAGTAACGGCTCTTGTGGTTCAAGGGGTTAGGTCAAGGCTAAGTCCTGAAGCAATGGCTAAAAATATAGCGGATTTGGCACGTGTTAAAGCTTTAGACAGGAAACGACAGTCACCATTTTCTACTGCAGCTCAGGAAGCTGGATTTCGTTATCATGGTGGTAAACTTGATGATATTACTGTTGTTGTCTCATTTGTTACTGCCTCAACCTCAACTGAGGATTGAGTTTTTTTTTTTTTTTTACTTTTACTTTTTAATTTTTGAAATGTTACTACTTGTCATAGGGAGCCAAGCTTAGAGAACTTAATGAGACGTATTGTTTATGTTTATCCTTCACATTTTATGAGGCGGGTTTATTTTGATACTAGGTATCTGTTTGTTTCTTTTTTCTCCTAAATAGGATCGGAATCAAGGTTATTAAGATTGAGATTTTTTTCTTAAAAAAAATATCGGAAGAACCTAAAACGTGGAAAGTACATATTCATTGATCTGTTTGCAAGGTATAAAAAAGTTGAAAACATGAGTGAAGTTTAAATTATTTAATGAATTTAAAAAAACATTTTTCAGAATATTTAACTTAAATCTCAGATAAAGATCCCACAATTCCAACTTAAACGTTTCAAGGTTTTTAATTTTAGTTATATGAGGGCGTGTCAACGAATTATTAAAACATAAGTCAAAAAGTGAAACCATACATAAATAAATGTAGCCTTATAAATATCTTTGCTTTTCATCTATATATCATCATTCTCCATAATCATCCATGGGATTTATGTGTTCTAAAACTGTTGGGACTTTTTGTGTCTTTTGAGCAAAATATTCTATTTTTAAAAAGTGTAAGGCTTTTTGAAAACATGCTCCTTTTTTTGTTAATAAAGCATCATATTTATTAAAAGAAATACTATATGTAGCAAGAATAGCCAATTTTCATGTTCATGATCCTTTCCAAGTTTAAATGAGACAAAGGACATGAAGTAAAGGCGAAAAACGTTGATAATATTGTAGAAGTTACAACCATCGACTCATATGTAGTCTATGTGATTAGTAATTGTAATGAGTTTGATATCAATCACAGTTCCAAATTTTCTTCAACAAAATACACATGATTCACAATAACTTAAAGAAAGTTTCATTTTCTTCCCTTTCAACATCACAACTTTGTTTGTCATTTTTCACTAGAAGTTGGTTAAAACCAACCCAAAAGTTAATATAAAGATAACAGCATCAATAACAGTTTCAAACTAAAGATCATATATGTTCAAATAATTGGAGGAATGCATACATTAAAGAATGGAATCTATACAATAAATCAAAAAATATGAATGTTATTTTTTCCCAAAAAACCCGAAACAAAAAAGAATGGTATCTATTTACCCGCATGCCTGAAATGGCATGAAATAAATTTAATGGAAAACTTGAGGCGATGCATAATACTCGCTTTCTTTAAACACGGGTCTTAGATCTTCTTTGCACATAAAATCTGAAGGAAAAGAAACAAGATGCCCTCTTACACCCTCTAATCTATCCATGGGGTCACTTCCTTTAGCATTTCCATCTTGATATGGTTCCAACTTCTTTGGAGCTATTCCTATGTCGATGGTAGTATGCCCTATTTTTCCTTTCAATTCACCCATACGTTGCCTCAAAGATGCTCTGTGCATTAGTTTACATTTTACAAAGCTTCTCAATAAAATACAATCTTGGATACTGTTTCTACTTCACTTAATCAAGACTAACAACTTAATCCGGTAAGCTATAAATAATATATGTGTGTTTCTTTTTTTACTTTATATATATAAGAAAAAAAAAACGACTTCATAGAGAAAGTAAACCTGTAAGTCTTAATTGTTTATAAAATTTCCCCGATTTAATGGGAAAAAATAGGATAAAACAGATAAAATAAAATTGAATTGGGGGCGGGGGCGGGGGCGGGGTGAAATATCGTACCTGGAATGTATGAGATTATTAGGAATGCAAGAGAAGACATCTTGGTAGATCATGGTATTTTCCTGTTAATATGAAAAAGAGTAAAACATGAAATTAGAGAAGAATTATTCCTAGAAGAAGACTGAAGGAAAACAATTGGTAATATTGTTTTCAAATGACTTAATGGTTTAAGCACTTAATCTGGACAACTAATGATGGCTGCTTCTTTTTGACTTAATCCGGACAAAATGAAAAGAAACATGGCCTAACTCTATAAAGTCTTGAAATGATGTACTCTTTTTTAGTTTTTACCTTAGCAGTTGCCATCCATATGTCTTTGTAGGTAGAATCAATTACAGGGTCAGCTATTTTGTGGATCTAGAAAGATAGATGTAAGCATAAAAGGTTATTCATACAGGTGGAAATAAAAAGTAAAAAGTGGAGGAAAGTGAGGGAGCAAAGAGGTAACATTGATTTAACAACCAACCAACCTCACTACCATGAAGACCAAGGTGCTCAGACCATAGTGAAAGACGAAGACTCAATGCAAATTTCCCAGCCTTCCATGGGTTGCCTCCCATATACGATCCAACCACTTCTTTATCTTCAATAAGTACTCCAATCTGGATAAATACTCTTATTAATCTTACTTCAAAACAAAAGGTGTATTTTGTAGGTTGGACATCAAGTAGGCCAATGATTTTCTTTATAAAGAAAAGGTGGAATGATGAAAAAGAAGCATCATATGAACATATGCAAAACTTTTACCATTCCATTGATGCACCTACTCAACTATTTTTCTGTAGTGATTACACCATTATACTTTTTTGACCAATTATAAAGAAAATTCATGGTTACCTGGTTTTGATGTATCAGGAAAAAAAAATATTGAAAAGCACAAGGTACTTTTTACCATCTTATTGACAAGGGCACTGAACTACTATAAAATAATAGCAGTATATTACAAATTTGGTCCCTGTATACAGCTCGTTTTTTCAATTTTGGTCCCAAAAAGTTCTCTTGCAGTTTTTTTTTCCTTATTTGAGGTTTTTGTAACGTTTTTGGTCAATGTTCCAAGTAAAATGACTATTTTTGGACCAAATTTGCAAAAATCAGCTATACTAACAGACCAACAAATAGTCATTTTACTTGGAACATGGACCAAAAGCGTAGGATGATAATTGCAAGAGAAAAACCTTTTGGGTCCAAAATTTTAACGATTAGCTATACTCAAGGACCAAGAATGTAATTCACTCCAATAATAATCATAAAAAATAAATAGTTCAATGGGTAAATGGATAAAATGGTGAAATAACTTGCTGTTCTGCATTTTGGTCTTTTCCAAAACCAGGGAAAAAGGTTTTTTAAACGTTAGAAAAAAGTATAATGGTTTAATAACTACGAAAAATAGTTAAGTGCTTAAATCAATAAAATGGTGAAAGTACTTTTTTTTTTTTGTAGTTTTCTGTGTATTTAAAATCCATAACCACCATAGATAATGCCATAGGAAAAGAACAAAAAATGGTTGTGGGAAAGAAATGATGCATAAATTACCTCTGAGTCACGTAATCCAAGTAAACTCCTGTCATTGATATTAGCTGACCCAACCAAGGCTGCAGTATCATCTACTATCATGATCTTGCTATGTACATATACCTACATTGATTAGGAGAACAAATGTAAATAGACAAGCTACATAAGACCACACTAAATCCTCAAAACGATAGTTGACCAGGTCAAACTTCAACCCCTTTTGCATTCTATGTTCAAATTTAGAAGACAAGACTAATGTCAATGGTATTAAAGATTAAAGTTTTTTTTCCTACCCATAAAAAGTGAAGTAATTTAAGAAAAATACCGGACTGGAGGCAACAAGACCATCATTAGAAAGTCTACCATAAGCCCTCAGACCATAAAAAGATATGTAGTCATCAACAATGGGACCAAGTCGATCAGAGAGATTATGCAATATGGAATTGGGTCCTCTTGATATTGTTCGATACTGCCAATGCATAATAGCCCTTACAGATGCTGCGCCACCATCATCTAGTCCACCCTGTAACTCTTAATTTAGATGAACGAAAACAAACAAACAAACAGAAAGCTATGAATATGTCTGTTGATAAATGTCCAAGAAGATTATAAGCACCTGGAATCCAGGTAATAGTGGTATAACAATGATGGCCCTAAAACACTGCCGTTCTTGATATGCCCGCAAAATGCGCTTGTACAAGGCATCCAACACACGATTTCGTATGATCTCATCTCCAGATAGACCTGAGATGAAAAATTGGTTCTGGGCACAAATTGAATCAGATATAAGTTACACCAGACTTTTAATGATGGCAAGTATTAATAGTAAAAGTTAGTGTAATCCATGGAGAGAGTTTAGACCATTTGAGTTCTATGTAACATAGTTAAGAAAGAAACATCGCATACCATACACAAATATCACAAAGAAAAACTATGTTTTTTTAATTGTGAAAAGGGCACTAGGGTTACGTTACCCCTTCACTGACGAACATTTACCCTTTGGTATCTTTAAGGTATACCCTTCAAAGCATGTTATTTATTAAATCCATTTTACAAAATTCGACCACTAAAAAGATCTAAAAAAATTCCCATATGGGTGAGTTTATAACATACCTCGATGTAGACCAAGTGTTCTGCTTTCTCAATAAGGGAACAGTAAGCATTGTGAATGCTCCCTTCAACTTGACTTGTCCCAGCCGACCAAAGACTCACACTCCTAATAACCTATAATAAATCCCATGTTTCATCAAGTTCAAGTTCTGTATGGGTAAAGTGGTTGAATGGATAATGATGTCTGCATGGATAAAGTGTTGTATACATTTGGCCTGTTTCTTTTTTGGATTGAATAAACCGTATGAATGACACTAAATGACCATCTTACCCTTACATTCACAAAAACAAATTTCACAATTTTCACATGAGGAGTCCGGAGGAAAAAAGAAGAAGGGAAAATAGGTAAAGGGTTAGTGTCTTGATACATTAAGCCCTGTTTTTCGGCTTAACCCATTAAGCCATTATGTCCAGATTAAGTAATAAAAAGAAACAGATATGCATAGTTGTCTAGATTAACTGCTTAACCCATTAAGCCCATTGAGTCAAAAAAGAAAGTCACCTGACAGCGACACGTAACACGAGGACCAACCTGCCCACTTTCATCTGCAGAAACAACAAGATTACCTCTCTCCTGACTCTCCCACCATTCTCTATCATGAGACTTCATGGGAGGGTGCACAACTGTAACAGAAGACCTCCCTTGTTCATCTACAAACCCTCTCATTGGCATATCCATAAACAAAGGTGCAATTTTGGATTTTCTAAAAGAAAAAGGAGCCCTTGGAGGCCTGCTTGGCTGAGGCTGACCATGAAAATTATTATTTGATTTACCCAATCCACTTTGTCTTAAATTTCCGCTAGCAGAATCAACTCCATCAGCTTCTTGTGGGATTAGCAATGGGATGTCTTGAAAGGCAGCAAGAGAGGAAAACGAATCCTGTCTGTTGATTGGTTGGGTTGCATTCATGAGTCCAGTATTTCCATCTTCTTGTTCTCTACCAGAACCCATGTAATGTGGGATAACCATGTGTTGTTGAGGCATAAGTAGTGGAATTGTTTGCTCATTGGGAGCTTTATTTCTCTGAAAGAATTATACCCAAATCAGACCACAAGAAAACATTTTGGCCATAAAGGTTTTACCCTTGAGAAAAAAAAAGCAAAAACCTTTGCATAATTCCAACGCTGAACAAAGTGGCGAGCAATATCACGACATGGTGGTCCCCACAAGGCACAGTGGACATCATGCCATGGCATACGAGGATATTTTTCACGATTCAGTTCATCCTTCATAGTATCTTCCCAAGAATTAGGCTCAGACTCCCTGTAAAAATTGGGATCAATTTCTTAAAGGGAACTTTCTATGGGGACATATCCAAGTAACTTCCTTTATCATTGATTTAGGGGCTGTTTCTTTCTCCCCCCTCCCCCCTCCTTAAGTACTGTATGGGTAAAGTGGCTGAATGGGTAATGATGTCTATCTGGATAAAATGATGTATACATAAGGTCTGTTTCTTTTCTAGACCTAGACCGAATAAACCGTCTGAATGAAACCAAATGACCATTTTACCATTGCATTCCAGAAAATAAATTCCATAATATACATCAATACAAAAAATATTCATCAATTTTATCGCGAGATGAGTTGAGAGGAAAAGAGAAAAAGGGAATATAGTTGAAGGGTTAGTGTCTTAATACATTAAACCATTTTTTTTTTGGCATAACCCATTAAGTCATTTTGTCCCGATTAAGTCAAATACTATCCAGATTAAGTGCTTAAAACATTAAGCCTATTAAGTCAAAAAGAAGCAGCCCCTTAATGGAAGATACCTATTCGGCTATTCATATTCTTATTCATGTATGATAGTAAAAAGAAGAATTACCTTGGGGTTATAGTAGTCCTTTCCAGGCCATATCGTAGGAGGGTGATCACCCACTTTGTGCTCATATGAGTCATAACGACCAAAGCAAAGATCTAATCCACCAATAAAGCATACCTCATAATCAACAATGACCAATTTCTCATGATGGGACCTACGTTTTACCATAAGTAAACGAATTAGTTTTCAAAAACAATAAGAAAAACAAAAAATGAAACTTATACAAATTGCAATGTAGACCGCTTACCATAGATACACACCACTAGAGAAATGGTCAGGGTAACGTAAAACTCTGATATTCTCATGAAGAGCTGCCAGCTTTTTCTTACTAAAAAAGCTATTAATTTTGAGTGCAAGAGCAAGCTCTTTGTACATGAGAATATAAATCTGCATTTAAAAGTTTTAAACTGTAAAGTTCCATCAACTCTTTAATGGATCTAATAATTCGGTTCAAAAGAACAATTAAGTCTACCTGAACACCTTGCTTGGCTCTTGCCTCCAGTAAAGCATCAAGGCGAGAGGATGCATTTGCATGAAAAGGACGCCTCAAATACAAATCTGGACACAGCCACCATCCACACATAAATATCTGCATGAAGACAATAATCATATTAAAAGGTGTTAATAAAAAAGAGACTAGAAATGAATTTGAATTAAGATAACATTACAAGAAAAGAACCTCTGATTTTGCCTCTTCAATTGCTAAAGCAATTGCATCAAAAGCTGCACGACCATCAACAAACCACTGAGCTTGACTATCATCATCAGTCAAACCGCGAGGTGGAGCAAAAGAGCCAAACCGGTGAGGATGACACCAGCCCTCAGGTGGCCGGAGTCCAGCATCATTAATGGCAGCAACCCATGATTTTACTTTAGCTTTATTTTTACTTCTTAATCTTATTCTTCGATTCCCACTTGACACCTAATGTCGTTGTGTGAGGTGCAAAAGAAAGCATGAGGTGAAAGGAACAGAAGGGTAAAATAGTAATTTACTCAGATTCAAACAGTTCATTAGACTTGCCTCAAATGCATGGCGTAAGGGGTTATGTTCATTGATTTCAAGTGCTAATGACACTCCATTTTCTCCATTTGCATTTGATGAAGGTAGAACATCAAAAACAATAATATCTAATGGCTCCTTGTCAAACGGATCTTTTAACAGGGCCAAAAAACCCGGTTTAAGAACAGCCCAAACCTGCTGCCAGTTGTCATTACAGCAACTGAACAAATGACAAGCAGAACACATTCTACTGTCATCATTACTTGGAAATTTCGGTAAATGTCTCACAAGTACATATTCTTCTTTATGTTTTGAGCCATATTCTGGACAAAACGATAACTTAGAAGCCTCCATAAACCTGCAAACCTGCATTAAAGATTGTTCATGTCAATCAAGATTCAAGAACTTATATATGAGTAGAGATGAAGAAAAGCATTAATTAATGACCTCTCTGGAATTTGCAATGTCCAGGTTCCCAAGAAAATGATTTAAATACCCCTGCATTGATTGCTTTGCTTGGTCTGACATGGAATGTTGTCTTCCAAGTGCTGGGCGAATGATTGGCAATGCTGCTCTTGATGGAACATCTCTGAACAAAAAACCACCTGTAAGAACTATAATCATTATAGCAAGAAAGGATGAATTAACATTTAACACATCCACCAATCCTGAAAAGATTCAAGATATTCAGCAATCACCTGTTTCTGACACTCTCATCATTGGTTACTGGTGTGACATCATCATCGGGTTCTTCATCATCACCATGCACAACTGCATGATGATCCATGATTCCTAGATTTTGAAGCCATTCTCTGACCTTCAAGAGGAAGACCACTGTAAGGTCTATCTAACCCCACTTCGCCACAACTTTATTTTATACTAAATAAGAAGATAAACTCACCTGCTCTTGTTTTTCATGGATTTCTTCAATGATGGCACGTTTCTTCAATGCAAAGTGTAAATAAAATACATGTGAAGCCTTCTTCACTAGTTGCCACTTAAACTGCAATCCCATGGTAAACACATAGAGTAAATCAGTAAAAACGGAAGTGAGTGATGAATTTCAATATGTTATACGAAAGTAATTTATCATAACAGTAAACGAACGACAGAATGTTGTTAGAAAACCTAATCACTTGATTTAGCTTTATTTTGAAACATTAGAGGACGTGTCCTACAACAATGCCACTCATAATCAGAAAACTGTGAATCTCAAATTAGAAGGGTCCACATAGCAAAATTGGAATCTTGAAGGACGAATTTTCATTAAGAACACGTCTCTGTTTGCGCGCTTTAATGTCGTAAATCATAATTGACTAATAAGATGCATTGTCGGGGCTTTAAAAAATAGCTTTATGAAAGAACGCAAAAGAAAAACAACATAAACGTGATTGTTACCATCATGATTCATGAAGATATATTACATAAAACAAGACCTGTTTGTATTCGAAGTCAATAGTGTAAGTCAGGAGCATGGGGCTAATATCACCAGCCTCATTACGAGATACTTGAACGATTGTAGCATTTGGCAGCTCATCGAAAATTCGACTTGCCTCAGGCGGGTTCTGAAGCGAGAAGAACGACGACATCGCCGATTGCTCCGATTGCATTTGCGAGTAACGAGACCCGCTTCCCCCCTCAGGCATTAATTGTTCCGATGCCATCTTATCGCACAATTCCGATCAAAATAATACGATAATCATCACCAAATTAAAGATTACGAACGTGTATTGATTTATACAAGTCTTTATGTTTGTTGTTTGAGATCAAAAAGTGAGATTGAATCTGATAATTCAAACGAAAGAACGAAAAAATTGGTTAGTGATTGAAGAAAATCGCCAAAACCATGGAAAGTGATTATGATTGTGTTCCGAAGCACATTGTACGTGGATTATGGATGGGTCCCGATCTTTACGTCGGGTCGGGTTTGGCTTTTCCGCTTTCTCTCCATTCTGGACGTCGCACCGGTTTATGTCTTCGAAGCGGCCTACAAACAAATCCAACCTTTTCCTCGTTCTCTTATTGGTTTTTGAATATTCATCTATTTAACGCACGTTGCAAGTGTTTAGCAACATATTTCATTTTCTTTCCTTTTATTAGTATTTTTTTTTAATGTTATACAGAAAAAATGTGTTGTACTTTGATTATTTTATTATAACAATAAACTTTATAGAATTTATCATTATAGCAACCAATTACGTATCTTATAGAATTTATCATTATAGTAACCAATTACCAATTACCTATCTTATAGAATTTATCATTATAGTAACCAGTTAATACTTAGTGTTCATCAACAATATTTGCATTTTTGTTGGATAGGTTTATTTTGAGGCCTTGGTTCCACATGTCTATGTATATTTTTGTAGTGTTCTCAACTATATGCAACTAATAGTTATTAGGGTAAATTCCAAGAAAATCATTATATTATTATAAAATTTCGATTTTGACACCGATTTTTTTCTTTATCAATTATGTCATTATATTTACAATTTTGTTGCAATATCAACAAAATGATCGGTTCTTCCGGTAACCACTTTTTCCAAATTGCAATAAAGTCACTATCTTACCACAAAATTTTGATTTTGACGCCGAGTTTTTTTCTCAAATATGTCATTAATTTACAATTTTATTGTAATATTAACCAAATGACTGATTCGATGCAATCTCTATATTTGAAACTCAATTTTGCCACATAAGATCCAATGTTGCTTCCACGTCATAATATTGTTATGTCATTTATTTGATAACTTGTTAGATTGATTGTAATCAGTCACTTGGAGCAACATTAATAATCTTTGAAGATAGTATAGGAACAAATTTCCCCATCTGAAAAGAAGAGCAAATTTTTGCTTTCTAGGTTAGGGTATGATCTTTCCCTTCAAGGAACCCGAGATGCTTCTACTTTTGTTCTTAGACAATGTCTTCTACCTAGCTGGAAGTTTCTCAGTAGTGTCATTGGTAAATGCCTAGGGCATAAAATTGGAAGTATTGACCAATTAAATTGAACTCGAGATCTTGTATGCTATGTTCAAAAATAAACATTTGGATTTCGCTTAACTCATGTTTGATCAGTTTGTGTCCCACATATCTGGAAAGAAGAGACCAACTTATGTGACTCGCCCAAGGATTATTGGCATTCTTATGGGGTTCATGTCACCAGGGCATAAAAGTGGAAATATAATGACTTTATTTCAATTTGAGAAAAGTGATCACCGGGAGAACAGGAAGAACTGGTCATTTTGTTAATATTGCAAAAAAAAATTAAAAATAATGACATAATTGAGAAAAAAATAACTCAATGTCAAAATCGAAATTTTATGGTAAAATAGTGACTTTCTTGGAATTTTCCCTAGTTATTAACCATTTCTAGCTGATTGTTTGGGTGTCAAACCAGCAAATAAAGGGATAAATAATAACAAATAAATACAAATTACTGTTACAATATACTACTAGATAATATATAATAAGCAGGGTCAGACCATAGAGATACGAAACTTAATGTCTCACCATGTTTTCGCACAATACATTACCAATTGTTAAAAAGGGGGGGGGGGGGGTTGTTAATTTCAAGTTAAAAATCATAAATAGACAACTTAAAGACTAAAATTCATAATTTAAAATACATTCCCGATTCCAAATACTATTCAAGTATTATGTTGTAAGATGTAATATGACATCAATTCATGTTAAATCTAGGTTGGTGATCAAGATATTAAAATGCTCTTATATCTCTAAGTTGACAAAAGTATTTTACTCAAAATATGATCTTTAAGCAAAACTTCATCTAATTGGTTCAATACAAATAAGCTCTTGGATTAAATCATTAGATGGCATTACAGATCTTACAACAATCACCAACAATGCTCAATACTCCTCACACTTCGTTGGCCACATTTTCTGGTAATCAAGTTTATACCTTGATCATTCGTTCATTAGATCTATTTACTTCCATTTTTATGAGGGTTTTGGTTCAAGAACCTTGGTCTTTGGGATTTGGACGTCCCAAGTGACTTACATTCCAGATATGGGATCTAGAAGGGGTTCCATGGCATAAAGGTGCGAACTTTATGACCATGGAAGCCCCATGCAAGCTTAAAAACGTTATTATGGCCTTTTTAGCCCTAAAGGGCCATGCATGGGAGGAAAGCTAGGAACTTTACGTGTCCAACTGATGTCCAAGGCCTAGATCTATTATAATGTGCTTTGGTTTAGAGTATTATGGCTTGTGGACCAAGATCTATGTTTTAGAAAGTTAGGGTTTGAGCTAAACCCATTAAGAAGGACTAATAGCGGGTAAAGTTGGAAAATTTACCCTTAAAAGCGTATTCCCAGTATGTAGATAAAGTATGGAGTTTGGATCTGAAGGTAGGAGCTTAATCCATTGAGATGGCTCAATTGGTCAGAGGAACTCGGCGAGTCCATAGATGGACTCGACGAGTTGAGTTGGTTTGTCCCGTTTTAGCTTAAGGTAGAACTCAACGAGTCAGTGAAGGGACTCGACGAGTTGATTCGGTAGATCGCGACATGAGTAGCTTGGGAACTCGACGAGTTAGATTGCGATTACAGGTTCTAGGACTCGACGAGTTGGGTCAACCAGAAGGTTGACTTTGACCAAAGTTTTGACTTTAACCAGGGGTAAAATGCTCATTTTACCCTAAGGAGAATTATCAGGTTTCGACTAAGTGTTTTTGTGAAATAAATAGTCGGGGAGTCGTTGGAGCAGCCGTCAAAGATTCCTCACACGAGATTTCACGTTTAGCATGCGAGGTGAGTTTTCTCCTGTAGGAACGGGTCTAAGGCACCAAGGACGACCTGTTTAGATAGTAGTAGTTTCGGGCTACGGTCCGATGTCGGGCGGGGCCCGTTGTAGGTTTATATGTTTTTTCAGGTTTTGATCCGATGTCGGGGCAGTCCCGAGGAATGCTTGTATGCTTGATGTCTTTGTGATTCTTGCATGTGTTTGTATTTGTATGCTTCCGGGCTTCGGTCCGATGTCGGGGCGGTTCCCGAGGAATGTTAGTATGCTTCCGGATTTCGTTCCGATGTCAGGCGGGACCGAAGAATGTTGATATGTTGGTGTTAGTGGCTTATGTTATGTATTAGTTGTTATGCTCATCTGTCTGCCGAGATCTGCTCGATGCCGGGAGGGGCTCGATGTCGGGCAGGGCCCGATGCCGAATAGGGTTCGATACCGGGCGGGGCCCGATGCTCGGAAACCGATGCCGATCCTGACTCGATGTAGCAGGTGCAGGGCCCAAGATATGTTTATGTGATATGTGTATGGTATGTGGTAGTTGGGGAGACTCGCTAAGCTTCGTGCTTACAGTTTTCAGTTTTGGTTTCAGGTACTTCAGTTAGCAAGGGGAAGAGCTTCGGATGACTGCATGGCACACACCGTAGCTTTTAGCCTAGGATGTTTAAACTCTGATATTTGGCACATGATTTTGATACAATATTTTATTATGATGATTTGAGATACATTATTCATGTTCTTTTTATGAGATGACAAATGGTATCTATGGTTTTTATAAATAATCAAAATGAAATTTTTGGACTGTATTTTTGGGATGTTTCAAGTTGGTATCAGAGCCTTGGTTTGAGGGATTCGGGCACACTCTCGGGTGTGTCTGAACTCAAACTTAGGACTTGGTATGAAATTTTCAAAAGAAAATCATTTTTATAAAAAGAACTTTGAAAAGAGAAAGGAATTTTAAAAAGAGAAAAGGGTGTGGTGCATGCAATCCGCCGAGCTCAAGTAAGTACTCCCAAATTACCCATACAAGTTTATGTTACGATATGTTATGAGAATTGCATGCTAGAGTAGGACTAAGGATCTAGGAAGGATGCCTTATGTGCCTGTTATATGCGTATCAGCTTTATGAGAACTGCATGCTAGATTAGGGCTAAGGATCTAGGAAGGATGCCTTATATGCATGTTATATGTATCTCAGCTTTATGAAATGCATGCTAGTACAGATTAGTCAGGGATAGCCTGAATGAGATATGCTTGATTATGTTTACTTGATGCTCGAATGTTGCTTGCTTTGTGCTTTTAGGAGTTCTAGTTATCTTTTACTAACTAGTAAACGAACATGTTAAGTTACATATTACGAGGACTAAATAATTTTAGAAGGTTAGGTCTAGCTCTATTGCGCAGCTCTTGTTTGAGACCAACCGTTGTAGGGTAGGACCTCTCATTCGAAGAATTATCTAGTCTTAGTAATATTTAATAGTATTTGCGAGCTAATTAGGGGGAGATAGCAGGGACTTCTTATGTAGTTGATGGCGGAGAGTGGGCTGGTGATTATCCTAAAGCAGTAGTAGTAGAAGGGACTTGGTGGAGTCAAGGCAGTTCTTGAGGAAAGTATGGATAGATGTGGAAGGTAGTATGGGCCCGTACTACTGAAAGCAGAGGATCCGTACTCGAATCAAGGAAGGCTGAGAGGAATCCAAAAAACTGGTGGTATATGTGATCCCTCAAGATATGATTAGTATTCTAATGTTTTTTATGATGTGTTTTTTAGAATGGTGGTACTACGCACTAGACCAGTCGACACTTCGAGAGCTGGTGAGGGATCAGGCTTGGGCTCTAGAGTTGACAAGCTAGACGACCAGATGAGGGAGTTCATCTCATCTGAGATCACGCACAACATTGTAGACC